AAATCTTGACCAATGAGCCCTTCGGGAGTTATGTCACACACCACAACCTCATGAAGATAGGTAACATCCCCGAAGTCAAGAGGAACAAGGGCTGTCCCAGAAACATTCAGTGTAGAGCCATTGACACCTTGGATATCTGATGTCCATGGTACAAGTTCTGGCTTACATGTAAAGGGTATCATACTTTCCTTTAGACAGAAGAGTCACTGTGGAACCAGAATCAACCAGAAATCTCACCTCCATGGTGTCTACTATTCCAGTGACATAGAAACCATTGTCACATTTGTGGATAGATTCGCCAACCTGTCCTATTCTAGGAATGTCTCTGTTACTGAGCCTTTGTTCCTCTGTCAAGATTCGGCCCTCTACCTTGACAGATTGAAGTTTCCCTGTCCCTTAGAGTTTTCCTGCCTGTGACTCTGTTGTGGCATCTGAGTCCCACAATTAGAGTTTGGGGGCATCTGAGGCATCGTTTGCGTCCTCGGCATTTGGGCATACGTTAGCTGAGATTGCTTGAAGCTCTGGCACATCTGATTATAGATGGGACAGTTCCTGAGGAGATGCCCATTTTCGTTGCAGACAAGGCAACGTCGTGCAGGCCTCTGAGACTGAGCAGTGTAATATCTACCCTCAGGTATAGGCACAGTGCGCCGTTCTCTATTGGACACATACCCTTTGTTTTCAAGCCTAGATATGCTCGAGGCAATGTCCTTGAGGTACTTCTCAAGACCTTTATCATCTGGTAATTCAGCAGATGGTGGACCAACATAACGTACAGATGGCCTCTTTCTGTCCTTAGAATCATCCATTATTGCCTCATAGCGTTCAATAACATCAACAGCTTCAGAGACAGAGCGACAGTCACGATCCATGCATCTACATTTCATTTCTAGAGGTATTGCTTTATACAGCTGGTTTAGGGCTAGGGCTTCCTGAGCTCTAGCATCAAGGTTAGAATAGGCTCGCTGTGCCATCTGCCTCAGATCATCACCTAAAGTAGCAATTGTTTCATTGGGTCGTCTTTGCCTCATCTCTAACCGTGAGAGCCAACGACTTTGCTGACGTGAACTGCCAAATCTATCACCAATTTTCCTGACAAGGTAAGTGTAGTTACGCCTCTCATCTGGAGACAGACCTATATAGAAGGTACGTGCTGAACCTCTTAAACTAGCTGCAGGGCCAAAACCTTGTCCTGGTCATCCCATCTGCCAAGCTCAGCACATGCCTCAAAGTGACACAGGTATTCTTCCCAATCACCATGACCATCATATGAGTCAGGATGGAAATTAAGACCAGCCTTGGGTTTAAAATGTGTGTTTGCCTTAGTAATAGGCCTTAGCCGTGTTTGGTTGGGTCTCGGGAAGGGTAAGTAATCATCAGTACCCTCAGCATGGGGTAACTCAGATGAGCCTGGCATGAGTCCCTCTACCGGAGGAGCAAACATTCGCCCATGGCTGTGAACATAGGTAGCAGCACCATCAGCTATTGCACAATTATTCCTAGGACCTCTCCTCGGAGAAGAATTGGGACACCCATAAAGTACATCACCCTCGGAGCGACTATGTTGTACCAATGGATGTGGAGTTCCCGGCCTCATTGGTAGCCTATCATCAGAAACAGATCTAATACTTGAGCCACAACTGACCCTGGAGATTTGAGACATCTGATCATCATCTGGTTCATCATCAGGAGAATTCCTTGCAACATCAATAGTTTTGAATAAGACATCTGGGTCTGGTGACTCTGCCATCGTCTCCAGAATCTACCAACCCTAATGGATTCGGACCACTGGATACTAATTATGAAAATCAGTATCCACTTCTGACACCAAAATTGTAACACCCTTTGGGGTGCACGTTGGAAAACAAATAACACAAGGAGACGATGAAGTAGAGAGCAAAGTTTGCCGTGATATATGCAAACTTTGTTTTAATTTTGTTTCAATGGCAAGAATGTAGATGGGATTTTGTTAGCAATGCACTAAAATAAATGATGCCAATAAATATCACACACTACTCGGCCTGTATATATATATATATCTAATGACAAGGCTCTGTCTCCAAAGGAAATAGTTATTTTGTTATTTCAACTCAAATATCTTGCAGAAATGTTACTGAGTATGTAATATAGTTATTAAATTGATTGTAATTTGACTTAAAATATATACCTAGAAGCAGTTATGGTGATAAATCTAAGTCAGTAGAGGTGCCAGGTAAAAATATGAGCAGGAGCCTTTAATCAGACTGAAAGTCTTATTGTATCTAAATCGAGTGACCCGAGTGAATCGAATCCGAATCGAGTCCGAGTCGAGTGTGTGAATCGAGTGTCAGGCCTTGACCAGTGATCGTATTTATAGGCATCATCAGGAGGTCATGTGACCTTTCTCAACCAATCAGAACACAGGTTTGATGGCTTGCATACAAGAAACGCTGCCTAGGCAGTTTCATTTCTAACACAAGTAAGTGACTACTAATTGTCCTTATGTTGTCCTTCTTGTCCGAATACAATTAGGACACAGTAGAAATAATCAGGACATCGAGACAGTTTGTTATAATAAAACGGACAATATCTTTCCGTCAACGTAGCGTCAGTGGCCGCCATCTTGGTTTGTGGTCGGCTCTATGACAAGTGAAATTTACAAAGCATCAGTTTCCTTTATCATATGGTATTGTCCTTATGTTAAATAAAGTGTCGAAAAGATCAACCATGATGGACAAGTGAGATTTGTGTAAACATGTTGTATAACAAGAATAAGGACAACGATTATATTCAGGCCAAGCGGCGGGACGACATTTTGACAGACGTCAAATGTATACTAAGACCATTGACAACTTTGGCCCAGTGTAGCATCAATATGCCCTGTATCCAGGAATTTATGTTGTCCTATGTGTCCTTTAACAATTCGGACACTAACAAGATTGCTAAAATATTTGGTAAATGCAAACAGAAAACGGACAGCAGACTGTCAATTAGTGCCTAGAATGATTGTCGGCAACAAATGTCAACACACGAAACGACTGTCATATTGCAGGTACAAATGTAGGAAATACAGGTGGTTATACATTGTCCTCTATATCGTAAAGCAAGGCATTTCTACCATAGAATGCAGGAAAATACCAGATAATGAATATGTGGCTTTGATATAAAAACGGACATCGAATTTATAATTAGTCACTCGGCCTAACGTAAATGTTGTTGACAGGTCACCGTAACCCGAGAAATGTCAAACAGATCAAATTCGTTATTCCGTTCAATCAAGTGTAATTTTCATTAGTATCCATCATGGAATACACTTTAAAACACTTCTGAGCAAGAAAGTTATCAGAAAATCGTCATTAACAAGTGAAATAAGTCATTGTTTATCTGGGTCAAAAGTCACACTTACTTTCTATAAATAGCCACGAAGCAGGAGTGTACACAAGAAATAGTCCCTGACAAACATCGGTGTTAACACTCAAAATACACAATGATTCAAGACAGTGAATAAATATATCATTTGGAGACATGGAATACATAAGTCTGTACAATAATAGTACACAATGACATCAGTAGTAGAATCCTTCATGGATGTAAATAGCGTAGTGACACACAGTGGTAATTAGGTCATGTCTGACAAGTGCTGCTACCGCGAACGTTCAGTGCTTGATAAAACAACTATCAACAGTGAATATGCCCCCTTAAAGATGCCTCAGATCTGTGAACTTCAGAACCAGGTAACTGTCTATGATGTTGTTAGGTTGTTATTTACTTTAATGTTAAAAATATGGATGGACATTTGCAGATAGATCGTGATATAACGAAAATAGGTGACACTTGTGATTGACAAAGTTTATATGATGTTTTTAATACTTATACTTTAGATTCTATTACAATATCATAATTTAATTTGTTTCGAATTAGATATGGTGAACTATCAAAATACTTAACTAATTTCACTAACCCTCTGTGATACCTTAATATGTTAATTAATATTGATTTGATATGGTTATTGTTTCAAACTGGGTTAACATGTAATTGGAAATTTTTATTTTAATAATTATTGTTTCAAATTTTCAGGGTACTGATGCTCAAAAAAGCATCCAACTGTTCCGGGATTTTGAGAAGCTTGTTTCCAAGCAAAAGGGCAAGGGTTTGAAGTCAAAGACCTGCATTACCATAGTCAATGTAAGATTGTTTGAAAATGATGTACTACTGTAAGTATTGTTACACTTGAAAACTGGTTTACTTCATTCCTGAAGTAAGTGCTTGTGATCAGCTTTGTGACAAATGGAAATGCAGTAGACTGCAAGGACAGGTGATACCTTTATGATAAAGATATATTTAAAATATTTTATATTTACAAATAGCAGTATAGTTATGAATAGATGTTTCATTTACTTAATACTGTTGTGAGATCAACTTGTAAACTGACAATATTCAGCCCTAACAAAAATGTTATTTTATGTTAACAGGATGTGAAGAGTGTGGAAACAGTTCCTCGGAAACATCTGCACAGCCAAGTGGAAGAGGCTCCTCATCTTGTGGTCTTCCTTGACAGCTCAAAACACATCCTATGCCAATTCATTGTAGGAGACAATGTAAAGATTATTCTTCAAACACAGTCATTGTTTGATGCAGTGATCAGTCTCCTTGGGAGTTACTATGTTTTTGATTTTGAGTACCCCCCTGCATATTGCCAGGTTCTTGGTCTGCTACAGCACTGGGTTGTATCTGACATATTTACTGGATCAAGGACATCCAATTGGGTAAAGTTCAGTGATGAACTGACAAGATCCAAAGATAAACACTGAGATTTTAGAATGTTTCCCAATCAAGCTTTGAACTTTCAAAAAAATCTTGTCAGTAGTAATCTTTTGACAATGTATACCATTTCTTTATCCAGTCGCATGATATTTCTCTAATAATATGTTAAAACAAAAGGTAAAAATATCAGTTATACCATGGAACATCCCAAGAAGACCTTTGTAAAAGGAAACAGACTGATTCTTCCTTTAGTTTTCATTACAATGATATTGTCAATTTCAAATTTATTCAAACTGCTGATATTCTAAAGAGAAGATTATTATACGAATTATGAAAGCCAAAAATGTTCAAAGACCATTCATAGTACCTATTGTTCATTCTGTTAAGCCAAACAGAAATGTTCTTCCTGTTCAAAGAATTGAATTTCATTTATTGTGCCAAATTGAACTAAATTTCGACCACCTCGTCTGTTCTCAATAAACATTATCTTGAACATTGTGCCATTGTGACATGGTGTTCAAATATGTAATGATCTTATATATACCCCATAGGAGTTGTTTTAAGTTTAATCCATTATATTACCCTGCAATCAAAAAGTAAACTTTGGTTCTCTCAAGACAAGATTACAATTGTCCGATTTGAACTCTCGCTCACTTTAGGAATTTCTGAATTTCGCTCACCTAAGATTAGGAGATGTCACCCATAATCCCTCATTGTCTAAGGAATAGCACGCTTCATTGCTTTGCCTACCTTAGACCATACCTGATAATTCTCAGGGAAGTACCTTGCCTATGACAAAGTACTGATTATCCTATTGTTGTGCCAACAAATATGTTTGGTACTCATTTTTTATTTCTTCACCAAGGTGATTTTGATAACCATTATTAGTGGACCATTAATTTAGTGATATTATTTGAATGTAGAGGTATGTTGCTTCTATTGTTTACTTTTATACCTGTTTAATGCATAAGATGTTCTGTTAAAATTCTGTCAAACGTTCACCATTCTGTGTCTTAAGACTCAAGTACCGGGATTAACAGTATTACCGAGTTATTTTGCATGTTCCCTAAATAAATATGCAGTATTGTGAAGGATTCTGTGGACTCCTCATATCTGCCAATGTGCATTGAATGTAACAGTTTGCTCAATTTTGATGAGGATTTGATTTTTTATCTGATGAATAAATTCAATTGAAATTGTCTTTGCTGCTCTAATTTATTTGGTTGATTACTATTAGTTGTATTATATCGAACCCTGAAACTGTACTAAGTCCTTTTGCTTTCATATTGATTACACCATAATGAATGTGAAGATAAATCTTTGTCACCATGTCTTTTTATTTGGGAAATTATCACATTCAGTGTAATATCAAAGGAGATTAATCAAGTTCAGAGTTAACCATTGATGAAAGTTAATACTTGGATATACATTTCAGCCCAACTTTCTCATCGAAGTAATTTGTGGATCACATTTCTTTGTTACTTTACAAATGTGTTAAATTATTAACACTTACATCCTTATAAACATGTTAATGTGTGAAAAAAGTGTTACCAGCAAGCGTTATCAAATAAACATGTTAATGTGTTAATCTTGTAAACACTTTAACATGTTATTAAATTAACACTAGTGTTAAACAGTATTAACACTTTAACATGTTAATTTACTGTTACCAAGATAGTGTTAATAATAGTGTTAATTCAATAACACTTGTTTTTACAGTGAAGACTTTATCCAATAAAATCGATTCTTATAACTGCTACAATACTCCTGGCAAGTGGTGATATCATTGATGTTCAGAGCTTTCGAGCGAAACAACATCAAACGAATCTTCTCGCGTGTTATTCATACAAAGCTTCGAAAGGGAGCTATTATCCCGGTGTTGTGTAATGTTACCGAGCGGAAAGCCACTGTTATTGGGAAATAGGCGACAATATGTATCATTAAAACAAAGACGTTTCATGATAACTGTCCGATTACGTAAAATTTGATTGTAACTAAGATTGCTCTGTGCAATTGGGCCCAGAGGTTTTGAGATGATAGATGAAACCTACTTTTATCAAGGAAAATAACAGCGTGTAAAACGGTATTGCCACTACATGTCACACATCATTGGTCTAATCTTACTTCTGACAAATATGAAAGTTGTTTCATCATATTATTCAAATCTAATACAACTACAACTTAAATATATAAGCATAGCTGTTACGAAAATGCAAGCTTACAAATTTCTGTCCCGATAAACCACGGAACGAAGCGAAAACTGCGGCGTTTATTCATTTTCATTTGTAAGATGTCGTAATATCCTCTACCTCTTTCTTTTATATTTTACAATCTTAGACCCCTACAATCAACTTTACAATCGCCATACAATTGCCCTAATCCACTTGCACAAAGCCGATCTTAGAGCGATTGTAAGACGTCATGTATTTAAGATCGCGATCTTAGCTAAGATCGAACTCTTCAACGGTGGAGGTACGGACTTCTTAAACTCGACTACCGTCTACAGTTGTCTGAAAGTGAGCATAGCATGCTGCGCAAATAAAAAGTGATACTGGTCCCAGCACACAATACATGTACATACCTCCCTCAATCGCACCTTGCAGAATTTTCATGAAAAAGTCCCAGAAATCTTAGAAGAAACCGATTACGTGGACGATAGTATATATTTTTCTACATTCTAACTGTCTTGAGGGGTGGGGTGAAATCCTAAAAATAACCTACATTAAAATTCAATAAAACAATGGCTACAGAAGTGTTGTAAAGAATGCATGGCAGGGAAATACGTGCATTAAATAATATTTCAAGAGAGTAGTTATTAAATACGTATTCACAGTATATTAATTATTTAACCCTATTGCGTTGATAAATATTTTTCTTAAAGTGAAATTCTTTTGAAACATATTTTTAATGCCTCATCATGTGTATATCCCTATTTGATGACTACTTGTATATATTTAAATTGCATAATCAAATTTAGATTTATGGATGAGAAAGAAACTTGATTTTGCACGTTAACTTGTATCTAATTGTAGATTACTTTAATGATTAACTAAGACAAAATCACTCCATCACCGAAAAGAGATATCAGTATGTTGAGCTCTGCAATTTGGGCATGACAGACTGTACGGCAACGGCATATGCCAAGGGAAACCACTCCTATCTTGCGTATAAAGTAAAATTATTTGCTCTTGAGTTAATGAAAAGGTCACGGCCATTGTTAATCGCACGCGGACACCATTCGCTATTATCCTTTCCTTGATTATCAAGAAGGTATGTTGTTTCACACTTAGTCCAACATTGAATCGGGTGGGAATAGTACTTTGTGATATCGACTCGATAGTTATGTGTTTCACTACAGTAAATAACAATGTATCCGACGTTAAATCGGTTGTGCATTCTCCGTGTTGAAGTGTCGAGGCGAATCATACAGTACAGTTATGCAATATAAAAGCAATCTCCAAACGTAAAGCTGATTATTTGCGTGAAACTGACACTAACTTGAACACCATTTTGTCACAGACTACAATGATCTTAGCTCCTTACAATTGGTCCGGACCAATTGTAAGTTTCGATTGTAACTTACAACGATCTTAGCCTACAATCGCTTTGTGCAAGTCGATGGCGATTGTAGCCGAAGCCTAAGATCGCGATCTTATGGATTTACAATAATTGTAGCGCTAAGATGGTTCTGTGCAAGTGGGCCCTGGCTAGCTATTCTCGAAACTTCTTAAGTCCTACGAACTTCTTAAGCCCATTCTTAACACATTGGCTACGTTCAAAGTTAAGAATTCTTAGGGCTACGAACGTTTCGAGAATAAGGCCTCAGGTCACTTGGCGTCATTGCACTAAAAACTTTTATCATCCAAAACTGTGTTAAACAGGAGATATCGCTTGTGTGAGATCAGACGATATCTCCCAGGAGATATCATTTTGACAGTAGATTTTGTACAATGCCTTGACAATGCTATGATGTCATGAACTTGATGACATCACAATGCTATAACATCGCTGCACTGCAAATCTGCAGTACTGTGTTCAGAGATGTACATTTTTCATTGAAAACTAATGAAGAGTGATTTTGGATGATAAACAGAATCTCACCCTCGTGTCTTCTGATATCAAATATATCAACACTTGTTGATAAAAGTGAAAATATCCTCGGCAAGCCTCGGATATGTGTTACTTTATCAACTCGTGGTGATATATTTGATATCAAAAGACACTCGGGTGAGATTCTCTATCTGTTTGACTGGTGTCGAAAGAATTTCAGTATTATGATGGCACAAAGACGTCAAATAAACATGCGCACAACATAAAATTGCTGTCCAGATGTAATCTCGACTCGTCCGTGAATAAAACACCATCCCAATCCTGTCTCTTATACAGTGTGCAAAATAGCCACTGGTCCGCTGGCCCGTGGCTAGTAACATTCAGTCGGTCCAGTAAATCACTGGCCCGACTGGCTAGTGAATTTTCATGGGGTCATTTTGTAAATATATCACGCTTTTAAATCATGCAAGATTATAGACTGATAAAAATGTTCATCATATTAGCAGCTTATGATGAAACCAGTGTCATGCCGACAATTTCTTCTCATCTATTTTTGTGATCTTTTGCTTAGTTTCTGCATTCAAATTTCCGGCTAATGAATTATTTTGTGGGCTAGTAACTTTCAGGCATAGCTAGCCCGTTTGGCTAGCAAAATTTGGAAACTATTTCGCACACTGCTCTTGTACCGAAGATGTTGTCTGCAAAATTGTTGGAGCAAAATTGGGTATTGCATGCCGTCGGGGCCTGATGATGTGCTCCCTCAGTCGGTTCCGTACAGTCCTGGAACTGATTGGACGTAAGATAGGAATGGTCCGAGCAGCCAAACTGGCAGTCTCGAATCGATTCCTTAGATTGGTCACCCGAATTGGGTTGTCTTGTTGATGTGACGTCACGCGTGGACGGCAAATCTGGTGTGTTCCCATTATGCTGAAAACGTCAACATAGAGATGAGATCATGTTTCAATGGACTTCAAAATGACTGGCCACTTCATTTTGGGCCATTCCAGTCTCCAGCATACCCACGGCGCGGAGACGCTGATTTTCTGTAAGCCGTGGCACAGCGTACGCATAATTTAAGTTGAAATTAATGTGTTTTCCACAACATTCAGGGGCTAAATGAAACATATAACTTAATGGATGACAACTCCTTGTTTACTGCATGGAGCGACGTTTCGATGTAGATTATTACACCCTTATCAAGCTAAAAGTGACTACAACCAA